TCCTTTGATTCCGGATAACTTTTTGGAGATAAAGACTACAGGTCTTTCAGCTGAATATCCTACTATATGGGACGTAAGCTGTCATTTACTTCTAAGAATTAGACTTCTAAACAGATGAAGTAGGCATCTACTTTTATAATGGGATTGTATGGGTACATCCTTTGATCCCATGACTCCAGGCTTCTTTCCTTTTTCAGTGAAGACAGAATGTAAGATGACTGTTGTCCTAGCTGAGAGGCTATGAAAGGTGCAAGGTCATATGGTTTTCTGTATGCTCTGTTACTTAATGACAAAATAACCCACTGAGTGTTCTGTGTAATTTAGTTTTCAAGTTTCATCTGAAATAGGAACTCATATTTTCTAAAATAAATGTTCATATCAGTACATTCCTTTTGAAGTCTGTATTTCAAGGGTATTTTGTTGGGTTTTTTTTTCAGTAGGATGATGTATTTTAGAAGATTTTTTTTTTTATTTAGCATACAGATGCAGAGACATGATTTTTCTTACAAAAACATTGTGGATAGCAGATTATATCAAGACCTGTGGCAGAAATGGAAATGTGCATAGCAATTCATGAATGTAGATTCTTTCAGTGGCACCTACCAAGAATGTAATTGTTTCAGAGTTCTACAGAGTAGCTCCATCTTATCCAGTCCACATTTTTATGAAGTGCTATTCTGTAGGCTTTCAACTATGATATTTGTAAAACAGTCCTGTCATCACTCTTTTCAGAACTCTAATTTCAGTCAGGTCATTGCCTCCATCAGATGGAGATAGTTGACTACATTTGAATGCATATTTTGCGAAGCCTAGCCATGATAGATATTTGAAGGAGAAAGTAAAAGCAATCTGGCTAATATCTAAAAATCCTTTGAGATATTTGTCCATCTGTATGCTGGCAACCACTTTATTAATTTTAGAGTCATGTTAATAAGGTTGTGGATATGGAGATAAGAGGAACTGCTAAGGGTAGGACGTGAATTCTGTGTGTTTCAAAGTACTCTAGCACTTTGTGTCCCAGCCTGAGAGGGCAGAGCAGCTGAAGCATCAGGTGTGGTACTACTGACAAAATATTGTCTGGTTCATGTGTATGCCCCTCAATGTGATAGATGTAGCATATAGACAGAACTTCAAAGGGTGTGTGGTTCTTGACATGTAACATTCCTTTTTAGTTGTATAATACCTGAAATAAGACACGTAATTTTAAAAAAGCTAGTGGTTTATCATGTTGATCCAACTTCTGGAGTCATGAGAGCCTTCTGTGTATTTTGAGATCCCTTGGTTGGATTCTTCTCTTGTTAGCATGATAACATCTTGCATCTATTTCTCTCAATAGTCACCTCTTTTCTGCAGCAGCTGCCCACTGGGCAGTGGGCTGCTTTCTCTTTTTCCAGTATAAGCAGATATTCTCATTTTCTATATTCTGTATACTTTCCTTTCTATTCCAGTCCCCTCCACAAATGAAAATCTAACTGCTTATTTTCTTTGATTGCCTTTTAGTCTGGATACTTACTTCACCTATTCAGATATTTCTAATAATTCCCCCCTTGTGGAAGGATTTTTCCATTTTTTTCTTGTTAGAAATAGATAATAGTTACATCTCTTAGGCTTCTGGGGCCTTTTTCTTTCCTTTTTTTGCTACCTTATAAGTTAATTAGCTGTCATGGTTTATGAGTGGCACTCCCTAATTTAGTGAACCCTCTCCCCCCAGCTTGCTCGCCTTCCTGCTCTGGTGGGAGGTACAAAATGCAGAAATCACAGGTTGAGATAAAAACAGTTTCCTGGAAACTGCAATGCAATAAGAAAACAAACAGGAACAGCAACAATGTTAATAACAAAAGTATACAAAAAGAGGGTGATTTGCAAGCAAAAATTGCTTACCTGCTGGGACAGTGAACAACATGTTGGACAGACCGTCCTACGCCCACATTTTTCCCCCAGGCCCGAGACAGTGAAAAACAATGAGGGACAGACCATCTGGTCAGGACTGGTGTTACCTCACTGCTCCCTTTGCCACTTGTTCCCCCAGTAAAGGAATACCCCTCGCCCCTTCTGGAAAGTGAGGGAGAGTACCTTTTCCCTGCCCCCCAGCCATGACATAAGATGGTATGGAATAGCAGAATGTCTTGGCCAAGCCCACATGGCTCCAGGCTCCCCCCACCCCAGCCATGGCTACTGTGAAAAATTAACGCTATCCTTGGCCTAAACCAGGACAATAGCAAGTGAGGTAAAAATTTCTAGAGGCAGTAGGAGGTATCAGAGTTTTCATTGGAAGCTGCAACATTTCAAACAAGGAAGACAAGTAATATGTGTCCTCTGCTTCTTATTGCTGCCACCTACATAAGGATGTGACCTCAATTCTCCTGAAGAAGTATCATGTAAGTTTGCAATAATTTAGTTTGTTGCATAATTGTAGAACTCTGCATACAATTCCTGCATGAGTTTCCTAGAGTAGATATGTTTTATGCTTATACATTTTTCCTTACTGTTGCAATGCCTTAAGTAGTGCAGTAACATTGTGCATAATGCCCTCTTGGGTGAAAATTCCTGAGGGAATTAGCCAGTTCATTTGCATCCCTTTTTCTTGATTTGGAAGTGGGGAGTTAATTAGTGCCTGTTTAACTGTTGATTTTTTTTTTTTATGTTTATGTATCTGTGTATTATCTCTGTTATAAGACTTGTAATGAATAAATATTTCTTTCTAGTACTGGAAAAAGCAAACATATTTTTTTTCTGTTTCTGCCCCTATTAGTATCCAGTTCAAGACTATCAGGGCAAGTTTAAGGAAATTAATAAATTCATATAATTTCACTTCTGTTTATTGTGACTGAAAAGGACATTATTTTGTTTCTTGTAAAATAATTATTTGCCAAGTTCCAAAGTAGCCATAAAGCATTACAATATTTTCATTACATAAGGTGTGAAGATGGCATGGAACCTCTGGTCCAGAGATGTCCAGGTCTTCTAGGGGAATCTGCAATTCTAGCAAGACAGGCAACTGAAAATCATGCTTTTTAGAATGACTGTTTTCAGCATGTAGTTGTTAAAAAATTTGAGTGGTCTGCTAAAGTAGACTGCAGGAGAAAACAGTCGCATGATTCTGGGATCTGTAGCCCCTAGACATGCCCTTCTGGGCTCTTCTTAAAGCATAACCAGGAAAAGTGAACCTTTACTGGTAACCTTCTCTTCATCCAGTAGCTAAAATGTCATTTTGTTCATTTGAACATGGAACATTGAGTTCTCACGTTGGTAGTTAAAACCTACTTTTGCTTTTGCATGTGTAGTAAGCAGTGTGTGTAGTTTTCCTGGTACAGGAGAATGCTAACTATTTTGTTAAATCCGTGCTAAAAGGAATTCAAGGCCAATGGGATTGTGTGGGTAGAGTGCTAAGACAGACAAAAGATGAGGGTATGTAGCTTCGTAACCCCTTTGCTAGCACTCTGGTTATCAGTCCTTCTTCCAACAACTGCTTTATGTCTTAGCTCAGTGATTTCATTTTTTCAGAATACTAGGTTCTTTTCTGCACTGTGGCATGTCCACAAGAGCATCATGCTGCCTAGCGGGTGTAGAGAATTAAAAGTGAGATGATTCAAGTTTGTGTCTCCATCAATGCAGAAAGGACTTGAATCTAGTTCCTTCGATCCCTGTGTGAGGTGTTTAGGTCCTTATTTCTTTGGTTGTATCCTAGACAGCAAAGCTCAAAGACCTCGAGGTCATTTGTTCTGTGTCCCAATCTTAGGCAAAATTTATTGTGCTTAGAAAAACACTTTTTAAGAATGACATAGCTCTCAAATATCTCTGTTAACATTTTTGGAATTAATTTCAACTCAAGGAAATCCTCTTGATAATTCATGTTTACGCCTAGTTTTGTCAAGAATCATCAGTGAGCCAGAAATTTTAATCCTACATCTTCTTGACAGGACTTCTCATCTATATCCATCTCCTTTGGAAGTCAGTAGCATATTATTATAGCATATTTTCTACTCTCAAATATGTCAAGCATGAATAACAATTTGGAACAATCATACTGTAAAAGCTTGGAAACTAATTTCATTTGTGAAATAGTATAGAGAATTAAACAGTAGCAGTACATTGGGTAAATAACATTTGACACTGAAGATTTGTGCTGGGAAGGAAGGAAGAAAGAAAAAAAAAAAAGGACAACCAGATTGTGTTTAAGAAAGATTTGTGTGAGTTTGGTCTTTTAGTTTGTTTGCATAATAATTGAAATGGTCCCCACTAATACCTTAGCAAGCCTACGCTGTTATTTTAAGTGAAATTCTTATGACAATATGCAAATAATGAGAAATAAGTTGAGCTTACATAATGCATTCTGTAACTCCTATTTTATGAATTATTTTCTGAAAAGAAGGAATAAGCCAGAATTTACAGCAATATTAACATATAGAGTCACTTTGTGGTATTTTGTAAAAGTGTGATTACATCATATATTTAAAAATACATCTTTTTGGAGGAATATACTCATTTATATTCTAAGGTAATGTTATTTTTTTAATAAGCCAGTCTTTATTAATTTTGGTACATATAGACAAAAGCAGCCACAAGAATAGTTAGATTTTAGGTTGATTCTTTATTGCTCAGCGTTGAGACATATTGAAATATTTTTTTAAGATTTTCTATTGTTAAAATCCAGTTCAGAATGCTAACCTGGCCAGGGTGACCGAAGCATGTTGCATGATATTTTAAATATGACTCCAGCATATTTGTACAGTTAACATTAGAGTCTTTACTCAGGTTGTATATATATAAAAAAAAATAAATCTAGGAAGCTAACATGCTGACAGATTTGACTGAAGAGCAAAACTTTTGAGAATACAAGCAATAAATACAAAACCTCTCTATTTTTTGACTGTTTTATTACATGTTCTTTTTCACTGTGAATTGACTATGCTTGATAGTAAATATGCTTTCTGAATTCATGAGTGTTTTATCCAAATATTAAGAATTAACTGTGAGTGTATTTGTGTTTACTTTGTCAGTAAAAAGAGAGGAGGATGATTTTGAAGAAAAGAAATCCATTAAGAAACGAATCAAAGAATTAAAGGTTTTGGACCCAAAGATTGCGCAGAATCTGTGTAAGTAGATTCTGGAGGTTTGTTTTTTCACAGATTAATGCATAAATGTTCCATATAAATGCCTTTCTCTTGTCTGATTGCCTGGTAACCACTTCTTGTTTAAAGTGTGTGAGAAAATGTGCGTATTGTTTTTAAGCCCAAGCTTGGGAGTTGATACAACTGAAACACTTAAAAAGACACAGAAAATAGTTAAAGATTATTCCTTGTTCAAGGCTGTATATATTGAAGTACAAGCATACAGCTGTATATCTAATTATCTATCTATTTTTTCAGCATATTCATCAAGGAATACTGCCTGCCCCCCCCAGCATTCCCCCCCACCCCCTGGCAAAAAAGGACAATAATGTCCGCAGGATGTTTGGCCATCTCATATACTTTATAGAAATAAACTATGTAGTATATAGATAATAGTCAGAATTATGCAATAATATGCAAACGAAGAAGATGAAGTTTTGGCAGAGTGGAGTGCTATGAAGTCTAGGTTGCTAAATGCCAGCAGGGATAAAATAGGAAATAATTGGATTATAGTGAATGATCAAGGAGTGTTTATAAGAGCATTTTGTTTTCTGTTTATATAGTTTTGGTTTATCATGGTGCTTCTTTAAGAGAAAGCTCTGATAAGACTGTTGAAGAAAAAAAAGTAATTGTCACCTCAGCACAAAATGTTGTAACAGCAGTGATTCTCCTTCAGAGTAGACTTGTCACTGGCTGCTTATGGAAGTCTTGTGTGATGCTAGATGTTATGCGTAACAAATGGATGGACAAGGCTGGAATTGAAGGAGAACAGTAATTAAAAATGCATTAAAAATTACTATCTCTTACCTATATTACTTTGTATAGTGTTTGTTAACGTGGAGATGTTTTACTGGTGTTTTGTAAGTAGAAACAAGATTGTTGTCTTGCTTTTTTCATTATTTGTGGAATCTATTTTAGCAATTTTCCTTGGATCTTTCCGAGTGCCTTATGAGGAAATCAAAATGATGATACTGGAAGTAGATGAAACACAACTATCAGAGTCCATGATTCAGGTAAGGAAAAATGCATTTAAAATCCCAATATTTCAGGGGAAGCTTCTCAGTAGATAAAAAAACTATAGCTAAAAAACCTCTTAACGTAAACTTGCGCTAATAAATAACTGCAAGAATATTTTTTCTGTGATCTGTAGATTTTTCAATATTTGAAACTAATATTTTTATGAAAGCAGCTTGTGCTGTTTTTGGCTTGGATGCAGTTAGTTTTCTTTGCAGTGGCTAATATGAGGTTGTGTTTTGGATTTGTGCTGAACACAGGGTTGATAATATAGAGACGTTTTCGTTATTGCTGAGCAGGGCTTGCACAGAGCCAAGGCCTTTTCTGCTTTTCAAACTGCCATGCTGGCAGTAGTAGCTAGTGGGATGGCTGTTTGCTTGACTGGCTTCAGTGTTAAAAGGATTGAACTTTCAGTTTCATTCAGAAGAGTGATCTTACTAGTAGATGAGGGAGTGTTTTAGGAAAGAACAATCTCTCTTATATTTTTCTCACTATGATGGAAGCTTAGCCAATGGGTAACCAGAAACACAGGAGTCATAAGATAAGAAAGACAGCAGGCTAGGGGGACTGACTGACAATTGCCTAGTAGTTATAGTCATTGTATTGGGAAGGGACAGAACTGAGCTATTGACTCAAATTATGTACCATAATTAAATGTTTGAGAAGTTCTCTACTTCCAGAATCTCAGAAAAGCTGCTTTTAGCCAACCTAGAAGGATCTAATTAAAGTGGAGTTCAGGTGCCTAATCATCAGTGCCTCTATGTAGATATACATGTCCAAGTGTTCAGGAAGTTCCAGGGAGTCAGAAGATTCTTCAGATGAACAGATGAATGTGAAATGTTTAGATTCCCTTACCTGTGTTCACAAGACAGTCACTTATGTAAGGGCCCAACTTCCCCATATGGACTTATAAATTCAGCTGAAGCTGAATCCCAGCTCTGAATTCCCCCTTTGAATAAAGTTTTCAGGCTAGTAATGTAAGTAAGTGTAATGAGTTTAAGCTTTTGTTTTGAAATACTAGAAAATAAATTATTGTTTTTGAAAATACTTTTTGTCTTGCATTAGTAATTTTTGCTCTCCTTTAGGTGGATACGTTACACTTGAAATTCTTGTTCTGTTTGCTTCATATTGTTCTGTTTCATAGTGCCTATTAAGCATATTCTTTCTTTAAAAACAGTGTTTAAAAAAAAATACAAAAGCATCTGTAGAATTAGCAAAAGGTGTTAGCTTGCAGTATTGCATCACTTGCTTTTTATACTCTCAGTTAGTTTTGTGTGTTGCCTATTTACATTCTACTGCCTTCAGGGAAGAGTGTTGTCTTTGGAGTGTATGGTAATGATGCGTATGTAATACCGTTTGCTTACAATAATACAAGCAACACAGAATCTAAGATTTTTAAGCCTATTTTATTTTTCTTTACAGAATTTAATAAAACACCTTCCTGAACAAGAACAATTGAATGCATTGTCCAAGTTCAAGAGCGAGTATAAAAATTTGTCTGAGCCAGAGCAGTTCGGAGTTGTGGTGAGTTCTGTTTTATTATCACTTTTTTTTGTCCTTTATTGAAATATAGTTTTAATATAATATAGAAAAAATGACAGATGCTTTATTTTAAGTGTGAAGAGGTTCCACATTGGGAGAAGAGTAGAAATGCTGCCTTTCAATTGGACTTTTATTGGACATATCCATGGATGAGGAAGACCTGATTGTTGAAATATTACTGTTGGAATGATTTTGGATTCTCTTTTTCTTAAAAGAAGTAATTTATTTGCCAAAATAATCAAATCAAAAAGACTTTTGCATTTCCTGTGGCAATATTTCACTGGGAGATACAGGGCTGTTTTTGAATTTCTATAGCTAAAATAATTTGGTTTTACTTTTGTTTGCATTAATAAATCTTAACTTTTTCACTGAAGTTTTCTGCACTGATGTTTTTCTTCCTATCCTCCATATAAAGGAGAAGAAAATACTGTAGTATTGATCATGTTACTGTATTCTGCCTGCTGCCTCCCATGTTTTATAGCATGTTGTGTCAAGAGTTCATGTAGTCACTTTTTCCCTTCCTAGTGGGAAGATGTTTTTGTAATATCTTCCACCTTAAATTAACAGAGGAAGACTGGAAGTGAGAAAAGAAAATACTGCTAGTTCAGTGCTGGGACTTGATGCCTTTTGTGGAAATACAGTTTGCATGTAATTTCTATATAGCTCATAATTCATAATTTGTAATTATTTCATCCAGGCAAACTCAGACTAATGCTATATTATTTCCCGATGCACGTATCTATGTAAGTCTTTGATTTTTCTTGTTCATTCCTAGAGTTTCAAGCTAAGATGGTCATTGTTAGCTCATCTCAGGCGATTTCCCTGTGAGGGAATAATACCTATTCAGTTAGATGGGACTGTCAATTGATGAGAAGAGCTACATGAGAAACAGTATAGGTAGAGTTTTGCTGCATGTGGCCCAACTTATCTGATAAATTTGTCTTAAAAAGTTGAGGTAATGTGATAACTCAGAAAAACATTTCATAAAATAATGAGTTCTTATATCTCAAAAATTTGTGGAGCTTCTTTTCTGAAGGAACAACTAGTTTCCCACTGAAAATTGCAAGTCCCTCCTTTCCCTAGTTTTCCATGCAAAGCATTAAAAAAATCCACAAACAAAACCAAACCCCATCCTAAGCACAATTTCTCTAGTGTTACACCTTCTATGCATCTAGTAGAGCTGACTTCAGAGAACAAGCTTCAATCAGATTGTAACGTGAAACATATTTCATTTCTGTTCAAGGGGAAGATTTTTGAATAAGTCACTTTTTTCACTCTTGAATATTAAATCCTATGCATTTGCTTTTCATCAAAATTCTTCAATCTTCATTTGGATCTCTTGTATCTTTTGTTTTATTGTTGGCCAGGGGGTGGGCTGAGAACTTCTACTTTCTTTAGGTACTCCTGTTGACACTAATATGAATCTTCAGAATTTTGCTGCATTTGTTTGTTTTGTTTTCCTTAAAAATCTTGGTTTATGCCTCATTTTTTGCTGTATGTTTTAAATGAGGAGAATCAAACACACAATACAGGGCTTGAAGTTTTATCTTTTAGATGAGGAGTGTCTTATGGTTTTTCATAGAATTTGGAGATCCTATGTTGCTCTAAAGTTGTGATTAAGGGAACAATTAAACTGTTGGACTCCCAAGGAAGAGCCTAAATACTGAGTAAATGACTAATTACTACTTGTGTGATAATAATTTTTTTTTTTATAATGGAAACCCATTATCTTTCTGGCTTTCAATTCAAAGCCAAGATATGGTATTCTGAAAGAAACAGCTAGACACTTAGTGAGATATTGGCTTGCTGTGACTGTTACAAGTTTCAAGCTAAGTTGATCAACATTTGTTGTTGGCTTAAAGACATTGAGGGCATGACTCTAAACAGAGGTTCAGGTTCCCTTCATGAGTATGGCTTGTGGTTTTGGGGTTTTGTTTTGTTGGTTGGTTTTTTATCTCTTGGTTGTGAGGGGTTTTTTGTAGTGACTCTATGGGTTGCTTTTGTGGTTTATGCGTTCTCTTTTTTAAAAGTTATTTATCGCTTTTATGTTTTCTGTTCATTCAGCAGTAAGTATAAAATAAATCCCTTATTGCCCTTATCTTCTCTCCCAGACTAGGTTTTCTTTAGATAAACTACTTCATTTTCTTGTAGGTTCTTTCTTTCATTGATGTCTCAGGCTGATGTCTCTGAACACAGATATTATCACCTGTTACTGTGGAGTTTCATTTTTGTTTTGGGGTTGTGGTTGATTTTTCTGGCAGGGCTTGCACAGATTCATGAACTATTTTAGGAAAACTCTATTAATTCTGTTCATCTTATGAAGTGCTTTAACTTAGCTTAGTCCCAGTATCTTAAGTTGACGTTATATTGAATGCTGTATTTTGTTGCTCAAATTCATGATGAAGTATGTTTGTGCTTGTCGAAATTTAAATACTCAATTGCATTTTGTTTTACCTTAGTTCTTGTTTTGTACTTGGTTTTACTCAGTGCGATAAACATCCTCCAAAACTTTTTTAAAACCTCCTTAACCTTCATATTATCTTTTTGGAGGTTTCATTGATTATTACTGATATTGGGTGATATCTTTTATAAAACTTGTTAATGGTGAAGATTATCTCTGTGTTTAGAAATGAATAGTCCTATGACAGCGCACTTGCACTGTGAGACCCATTGGAGATGAATGGGATTTCAGCTTGATGTTCATCTTGGTAACTGTTGACAGAAGGTTGTTATTTAGTGGTTTTTACATTTTTTATCTGATACTTTCTCTAAAGGACAGTATAAGTATTATGTTGTTTTAGGACTTAAAACCTTTAGCAATAGTGCTTTATTTTGCAGTTAGTTCTTTCCTACTGAGAAAAGAGTACTGGTTTAGAGAATATTTTTTCTAATTTTCAGTGATGTCTATCATCATATCAAAAACCCAATGTTTAAAGAGTAGGTCATTTAGTAATGTTAATCTAATTTGTATTCAGTGAAGTTGATATAGTAGTCAGAATTATTAATCGTGATTGATACTTTAAGGGCAGTAATGTGTTTAATGGATTTTGATTGGTGAACTATTACCATACCACTGTTCAATATATTATTTATAGGGAAATTGGGTACGAGCATGTTCCAGGGTTTAGAACTTGATTGTCTAGCAGGCATCCCTGCAACTCTAGCTCAGATGTCTCAGGGCATTTTTGGAGTCACAAAGGGGCATGACAATGTTTGGTCCCATATCAGGTGGCTCCAGATCTTAGCCTCCACCCTCCCCAAGTTATTTTGGGATGCAGTTTATTTACATGAGTGTCATAATATTAAAAGTATAATTATTTGGAGAATTGTGTGCTGTTATGACAGGCTAGGCTTTCTTGCTGCTTCAGCTAAGAGTGTTATGAAACTGTAGTTCCCCAACTCTCAAGCAGCACACATCTACCTCTCCTCCCTCTTCTGCCCACACAGCAATGCTAAGGCTTTAGGACTATTCATGCCAACATGTATTAACTGCTTGTTGCACCAGGAACCATTCCAAAAACTAGTTCTGATTTGATAACGCTGCATGGATGGAGCTGAATCCAGTACTGAATTCCAGCATGGTACAACAGGAACAGGTTGCCCGGAGAATTTGTGGATGCCTCATCCGTGGAAGTGTCCAAGGCCAAGTTGGTTGGGTCTTTGAGCAATCTGGTCTAGTGAAAGGTGTCCTTGCCCATGGCAGATGATTGGAACTACATGGTCTTTAAGGTCACTTCCAACCCAAACCATTCTATGATGTTATGTAGACTCATTAGTGCCCATAATCCTTAGTTGTGTAAAATGGTCCTGGACCATATTAAATTTATTATGTGGTTTGATATCCATAAATACAATTGTGTTTAAAAAAAATCACAATTTTGATGTTGTTTATAAACACTTCTGATCTAAAAAGTTGCTAATATTTGACAGGATGCTATTAGTAGACATTTGACCTTGCGTGTAGGCAAGTGTACTAGCAGTCTCCCACCTGAGAATACTGTCTCAAAAGCCACATGTGATAGCTTCTACTTTATTTCTTTTCTTATGAATTGAGATATTTGGAAGGTTGTTCCCATATTGCCTGGTAGTGAAAAAAAGGAACAAATGTTTCCTTGTTCACTTACATTTACTGAACGATAAAATTGAGGGAATTACAAAATATTGTTTCAGAAATAATTAATGCTCAGACATAGTGAAATACACTGATAGCTAACCCAAATAGAATTTGGCAAGCGATCCTCGTGTGGCTTCACAGCTTGTTCGTTGATGGATGTGTTTTTAATGAGTTCGTACCAAAGGAAAAGATTTCACTGGAGTAAATTGAAGATTAGAGTGAGTCCTGATGAAGGCTAGTTTGTCTTAAATAATTCAGCAGACACTTAAATTGATCAATTCCATATTCGGCTGGTGGTTTCACCTGGATGTCCTCATTGAGTATAACTCAAAATGTATTAATGTGTTTTCACTGTTGTCTGGAAAATATCATACTATCACTATTTCTGCAGAGGTGTGCTCTGCCTTTTCGTAATACTTGATTCTTGGATACAGCCATACCTAGGGGCATTTTGGTTTGTTTAAAATTCTGAAGTCTTGAGGTACATCTGGGTTGTGAGATATTTTGATTGAGCTAATTTCTGTTGGTAAACCTTATCTTCTGTGTCTTCTAGATGTCATGTATTTGCTGCTCTACCTTGTCAGTGTTCTTTATCAGTATTTTCAGCCTTTCCAGGAGTGTTATCAGAGATTAACTTTCTATTAAATACCATCCCTGAGAGTTAAAAATTCTTTATGATGAATTGCAGCCAAATTACTGAAGTTGTTTAGAAGGAGAACATCCTTAACTCCTATAATGTTGATGTATTTCAATCCTTGAACCTGGATAAGGGTGGAGAACAAAGCTCCAGAAATACCTTCTGAAAGAGGCCATTGTGATCTGTGCTGATCTGACTGTTTGCAATTGCCATTGGATTGGATTATGTTAC